TCTAGATCTAGATTCTACGACTCGTTTGCTTAAGTTTTAAGTTTAGTTTTTCTTGCTAGATCTAGAATCTAGATCTAATCATTAGCTAATAGCTACGCTAATAGGCCCTGGAGCGAGCATTTCAAAATTACCATATTCCAAACAAAGATTTATATAAAATAATATAAAATAATAAAGGTCTAAAATAGTTTAGTATATAGAAGATCATTATTATCTAAATCTAGATAGAATTATCTATATTTTAGATCTACGACTGAGCTATATTTAGAATTTACGTTTATAATTTAGCAAAATTACCGGTATCGAAGCCGCGTATGAATCTTAAGCTACGCAAATAGGCCCTGGATCCAGCATTTCAAAATTAACATAGTCGGAACAAAGATTTATACAAAATAATAAAGGTCTAAAATATTTTGTATATAGAAACTCATTATTATCTAAATCTAGATATAATTATCTATATTCTAGATCTACGACTGGTTTGCTTAAGTCTCGTTTTTTTTTTATGTATTTATAACTAATACATCTTTTATTTGACCTAGATTCTTGATCTAGATCTATAGATAACTTTCTTGGACAGATTGTAGATCTAGAGAAATTTATCGTAAAACTAAATGAAAAAGACAGTTGAAAATTGACATACATGTTGGAACGTAATAAATACAACAAACGGACGTATTGTTAAAGATAAAGCCGACAGAAAATTAGCTTTAGAACGCGTTAAAGATTGGAATGGGAACACAATCTTCTTCGATAGGCCGCCATTATTGATGTAAAAAAAATAAACACATCATGTGACGTCACTGTTTCCATCGAGTGTAGTGGATTTGCTCATCTTTTTAAAAAAATGTGGTTAATCTACCTATGAATAAATCAATAAATTAATTAACGTCTTTAAATAAATTTGTGATTAACAGTCTGTCTGCAATAACAAATTATTCTCTACCTACATACTATTTTACAGCTCTCCAGATAGAGTAGAACTATTCACAATAATCGATCAGCCAAACAAACAAAAAAAAAAACAAAAAAAAAAAAACAAAAAAAAAAAAATATTCAAACATGTAAACAAACTTGAGTTTTAGTAGTATATAGATTACAAGCCGTCCCGGCCAGGCCCTGCTCTGGCATCTGTGGAAAACCTTTCTGTTAAAGACCATTACCTGTGTGTTTAGTAATCATCATAAACCCGGCATTGCCTTACCCAAACCACAACCAACCAAAACCAAAAACAACTAAACGCAATTATAACGCTAACACTATTACAAATACAAACGAAACAAAAACCTAACAGCAAAACCAACCACAAACACAAACCCAAAGAAAAAAACACAAACGAAAAAGCAAACGAAAACAAACCATATCCAAACGCAAAACCAACCACAAACACAAATACTAACACAAACCCAAAGAAAAAAACACAAACGAAAACGAAAAAAGAAAGAACAAAAACGAACCAAATCAAAACGCAACCACTAACGCAAACCCAACATAAACACAAAAAAACACTAACGCGAACATAAACGCAAAGTGCTCATAGTCTAGCCAGGGTCGGAATCACCTGTTTCAGCTTAATAAACGACTATAGTGCCCCAACTTATTCATAGTCTTTTGCACTCACTTTAACGAACGTAGGCGCCAAAGCGAACACGTGAGGCCCGGGGTCCCAAATAGCACCATGTCTGGGCGCCAGAGGACGCACCATGACGTTACCGCCTGATTCAACTTAGTAAACGACTATAGTACATAACTTATTCATAATATTTTGAACTCACGCGAACGTAGGTACCATAGCGTACACGGGAAGCCCGTGGCGCCAAATAGCACCCTGTCGGGGTGCCATAGGACGCCCGGATTTGATTCACTTAAAGACTATAGTAACCTTTCTTACCCATAGTCTATCGCACTGTTTAAAACAAAATTATGCAGCATAGCGCTCACATGATAGCCCAGGGTGCCAAATCGAACCGTGCAGGGGCGCCGGCGGACGCGCCTGTTTCAATTTAGTGAACAAAATGATAATACTCCAAGCTTATCCGTAAATGGAAAGAAATAAACATATAGGATTTGTAGGACCTGGCTTTTTAAATGTTATTGATTTTAAAAAAATAATTATTGAACAGTTTGTTCAGTGTATAGAATAAATAAAAGGCAGTATTAAAAATACCAACGACATCGCACTTGTTTTCTTAACACCAAAAACAAAGTAATAAAAAGTAAATTTTTTCTTCCCCCGCTTTAATGATTTATTTTAAAGGGAAGTAACTGTGCAGTCAATACATTTCAGACACAATTTTAGAAATTTTATAAACGTTGATACACTTTTAAAAATTGTATGTAATACATTTTTTACAAAAATACTTTTAAAAGAAAAAGATGCACAAAACTAGACCAAATCACCCGCACATACTACTTCCCCTACAACGGCTTGTCCAGTCAGATTACCTCCCCTATCATGTTATCCACTTTGAAAGAGACTTGGCAAAGGATTGCCATAAAGATCTACACAAAAGGTAACATCTTATTAACGTCTCCTTACGTTACCCGTGATACGTCATAATATTCGCACATTCAAGGGGAAAGACAACGGTTATACTTATATATATATGTATATATATATATATATATATATATATATATATATATATATATATATATATATATATATATATATAAATGCGAACATGTTTCAGTGGGAATGAAGGTAGGGAGGGGGATGATAAAGGGGGGATGGGGAGAGGGATAGACGAAATACTAGCAGACTTGAAGTGCTGGAAGAGTTCCAGGACCCACAACTCCAATGGCCTAGGTTTTAGTCCGACAAAGTGACAAAACCATTCAGCATCAATATCTGTGTGCTTGGAGTTTTTGGCCTTGGCTGTGGCTGGCATTTGGGAGGGTCAGCTATTGGGGGAGAGGGTGGGGTCGAATACAAATGCTGGGCCATGTAAGGGTGGGAGGGGGGCTGTATATTACGTTTTCGGCGTACTACATTTTAGGGCGGTTGACCTCATTTCTGTATCGATTGCCTGGCTAAGGAATCTGGTAAAAATGATGGGGCTAGAATAGAGGAGGAGGAGGGTGTGTTACTGGTTAGCCGTACCCACATTTCAAAAGATTATTTATTACAATACGTTTTGACCTAACCAAATTTGAAAGCGTTATTTATTAACAAAACAAAAACAACTTCTAAAACAAATTATGCATTGAAAAGCTTTAATCTTCACATCAGTTTTTGACGACAGGCGAATTAAAAAATCAATCTTTTATTCTTTTACACCATGGCGTTATTTTATAACACAATCTTCAAACTAAAGTGAATCAAAATTCACACACTTAAAAAAATTCGAAACGAATCTTTGAAAAAAATCTACTGAGTAGTGTTCTATTTTTAACCCCTTCACAAATCGACTACAAAAAATGGTTTTTATATAAAATACCTAATCAGGACTTTATCATGGATGGTTTGAGTATCGAGTATTGATACCCATTGTTACCATTTCTACCAGCATCCTCCACGCGCCATATTTAGCCCAGTCTCGCGAATGAGATGTCGAGTCGATTTCCCTGCCAGGACCGGCGAGATGTGTGGTAGCTTCCCCTGCCTTTACCAGCGCATAGCTTAAATAGATTTTAGAGTGGCAAGACCAAACGGACAAAGAAAATGGATATTTCTGTGCCGTTTCTCCTTAGTGCCTTCGTTATATTCAGTAAAATGTTTGTCTTATTATCTTAAAGGTCATGTGGTAAATTTGTTTGATCACGTGATCTACTACCATTTAAAGCATACCACTACGATGTGCATTGCCATCACCACGATACAGGCGATAATCGCTTTACACAATGCCTATTATTTTCTTGGTCAATATTTATTCAACTACTATTCTCGTATAAATAAACATAAAAATATCCTTGATATCGACATTACACGAGGTATCTCTTACAATGTTCCTAGTTCGAACTACCTAGCTTGCATACCATAACAGCCCATTCGTATGGCAAAACTACACTCTCTTTTATCTACGTCATAAAACATGCATTCGTCATATCTCTCGCACCAATATTCATTCGCACCAAAATACCCTAATAAAACACACATCATAACAATGATGTATTTTAAATTATTTCATTATCATAGTTTTATGTTTATTTATACGAGAATAGTAGTTGAATAATTATTGACCAAGAAAATAATAGGCATTGTGTTAAGCGATTATCGCCTGTATCGTGATGATGGAAATGCAGATGGTAGTGGTATGCTTTAAGTGGTAGTACATCACGTGATCAAACACGACACTCTCACAGCAACACTAAGAGTCATGTATAAATGTGTCATCTAGTCCATATAGGTCTTTGTGCTAAATTTCTCTTTTGCACATTTTTCGTTGTTTTTTCTGTTTGCGCTTTTTTCTGTGAACCATATATATATATAAATATATATATATATATATATATATATATATATATATATATATATATATATATATATATTTACATATCATTATCATCATTCCTTTGTGGCCCCTGTGGAGCAAAGGGCTGCGACTACACATTTCCAGCGGACTCGGTTTTGGGCTGCTCCCTTAAATTGTGCTCATGTGAGCCCAGCTGTTTTCGCCTCTTGATCAACCATTCTTATCCATGTTTTCATATATATATATATATATATATATATATATATATATATATATATATATATATATATATATATATATATATATATATATATATATATATTATATATATATATATATATTTAGGGCCTGGCATTTTTATCGGGGCGCCTCTTTTTTATTTAGCTCTGCCTCTAATTTTAACACAAATCATAACCTAACCCCCAATTCTTAAAGTTAATCAATCAATTAACACTTAACAAGTAAAAACCTAGTTGGGTGGATTTGAACAGTTGAAAAATGCCTAACATACATGTACAGCACAGCGCAACAAGGCATTACTAAAACGGTATGTAGATGTAAATACTAATTTCCCTCTAACTCCAGGCTTGTTTAGCACGACGAATGCGGCGTGTACTCGTAATGAATTTCAAGCCTGCACAAAGGATATGAATAAAGTTCAAGAAAACCCTGGAGACATAAATTTAATGAGCAAGTAAGTGGTGTCAATGTTAGTAAACGACCCTTTTATGTCAATACATATTACGTTGTGGTATTTAATACCTTCGATTATTAATTTACTTTAACAAATAATAGGATAAGTATAAGACTTGCGATATAGTTAAAAGGATAGAGATTTGGTTTGCGTTGGGGATAGGGATAGAGAAAAGATAGTAAATGTTCTGGAAGAAATGAACTTTTTTCAGCATTTTGCCAGTTTCCCTGTTTTGTATTGAATAGAATGCAAAGAGAAAGAATAAAATACTATTTTTTTTCAGTAAATAGAGCCATTCAGGCAATATTCTAATGCTTTAAGCATTTTATAAATTGGCGGGGTTCTCACGTTAAAAGTTTCATGCAAAATAGGTATTGTCAAGAGCTAGGCAATCAGGGGCGCAGCGACCCGTCCCGGCGCCCGGCGACAAACTATTAAAAACATTCAATTTGGCGCCCCCCCTCGGGAACAACCTTTCAATTTTCAATTTGCACCCTCCCCCTCAAACTTTCCATTTGCAACCCCACCTCATATATTATTTATATTTATAATGCAAAACTGCAGTTAAAATGAGATTTTAATTTCATTTGTTTTTCCAACCCATTTTGGCGCCCCCTAAGGTCGGCACCCGGGGACATATGTACCTCCCCCGCTTCTACCCATGCTATTCCTCTGGGGGTAATTGATCTATGTGTAATTACTGTGAGGAGTAATGTTCTACCCCGCCCCCCCCTCCCCGACACAAATACTCATACATATCGGCTAAAGCTTCATCCATTTATACCCTCTCCCTTCCCCCCCCCCCCCCCCCCCACACACACTACCTTGATATGGTCTCTTTCGTTAATTAGTAAATTCAAATTTTATCAACCCCCACCCCCAGATTTGCTAAAGAAATCACAGACTGCTACACGGCATTATTGCCCTCGTGTGGTAAAGAACTGAAGAGCAAAATTAAAATGGGATTGGCACAAATGAAAATGAAGCTCACCAACTGTAAGTAAAAGTAAAGTTTCCCTTTCAAACTTGACGGTCTATAGGGCAAGTGAAGTAGAGTTCACTTGTTTCTGTGACCTCGGTATATGAAGATATAGCGTGGTCAGCACTATGCTCAGCCGCCTTTACTCTCCCTAACGTGAGGTAGGTACACATCAGAGTTGGGTGGTCTCAGGGACGGTCTACTAACTTGAACCCGGTATCGAACTCGAGACTTACGGGTTAGCAGTCCAGCTCTCTACCGCTAGACCAGTCCGTCCAATACCAACTGTAAGTACTAACGAATAAATAGGTGGTGTCGCCGATCACTTTATTTTTTCAAACGTAGATTGTATAACTTGGTGGTTATTCGCAATAAGTGCTCACTGACTCAGAGGCGTAGCGAGGGCGAGGCGGAAGGGGGGGGGAGGTGGCGGACCAGGTGATACCATTTAGGGGGGTGACACCAAGGAAAAAACCATATACACATAAATGTACGCGTATGCGGCTTATATTTAAATAATAGGCCTATGTATGCCGACACAAACACACACACACACACAGATATATATATATATATATATATATATATATATATATATATATATATATATATATATATATATATATACTTTGTTTCTTGTGGGGGTGATAACAAGAAGTGCCGCATCGGGTGACACCCAACCTAGGAATGCCACTGCACCCACTATAACGTTTAAACCTACACATATTTGAACCACAGGCCAGGCTGGTGATTCAGACTGCAACATTATGAAATGTATGAGCATAATGGGCAATCTACAGCAGCAACAGCAAAGCGGTCCCACCCAAGAAACTTGCAAGTAAGATTATAAAATATACTACTTTATAATATATGCTTTTAGTTTCTTTAACTTTAAAACAATTAACGTTTGCAATTATTTAGATTAATAACAAAATATTTTCAATTTAAAATATTTTTTTAAAAAGCATGAAAATCTTTTAGTGTTTAAAACTTGCAATGAAATCCAATTAAACCATTCGTAGGATATCCAAACAAGCTAACGAATGTTTCACGGAACAAAAAGCAAAATGTCAAAATAATGCAGAGGCTAAAGCCCAAATTGAACTCGCGTCGGTTGGTATCGTAACGATGAGTTCTGCTTGTGAGTATGTTTTCTTTTTTTTTTTTTGCATTATTGATTTGCGGACTGTACATTTGCTATTTTAAAAAAAGTAGTTGGTGTAACACAAAACTGTTTACTTCGTTGGTATTAATACACTTGATGAATGTAATAAAGAGCGACCTACGTACCTCTAAACGCCAGGTAGCTTTCAAGTTACTCTGCTCCATAGAATCCCCGGCCGTGACAAACACGCTAAAAGTTAGAAGCGCAAGGACCAACTAACCTTAATAACATACATTCAAACATATACAAGCAGCGCCGGCGCCAGGTTATTCAGCGCCGGTCCTAGGACCTTTGACCACAGGTGCTTTGACCATAGGGGGTTTGACCATAGGGGGTTTGACCACAGCGGAGCTTTGACCATAGGGGCTTTGACCATAGGGGGTTTAACCACAGCGGGGCTTTGACCATAGCGGAACTTTGACCATAGGGGGTTTGATCATAGGGGGTTTGACCATAGGGGGTTTGACCATAGGTGTTTTCTCAGCAGAGGGTCTTTGATCACAGGTGGTTTATCAACTGGTGTTTGATCACAAGCGCTGCGTCCGGCTTCGATCATAGGTGTTTTGTCCACATAGGGTCTTTGATCTCAGGTGGTTTGTCGAATGCTAACCATATATGGTAAGGATATATGGTTAAAAGTTTATAAATTATATTTTAAATTTCGACATGATGTAATGATATGATAAAACGTGCTGTCCAGACATATGGTCAAACAGATGCACTGACATATTTGCGTGCTATAGCACATCTGTCATTTAGTTAACCATTTTATGTATTACATCTTTGACTATATTGTTGGCAAGTTTTGTATCATTTTTTTTATCCTTTATATATGCTATGTATTTTCAAGTACATCTACATTATTTATTTGTGAAACTTGTTATATGTAGCATTATTTGTGTTTCATTTACATTTAAAATAAATCTATGAGGCCTAGCAACAGCCTTTATGTGGAGACTAAAATATAGTTCTTGGCTCTAGGAAACATGTATAAAATCGTGTTAATTGTATCACACATATGATCAAAGCCGGACACAGCGCTTGTGATCAAACACTAGTTGATAGACCACCATTGATCAAAGACACTCTGCTGAGAAAACACATGTGGTCAAACCCCCTATGATCAAACCCCCTATGGTCAAAGCACCGCTATGGTCAAAGGCCCGCTGTGGTCAAACCCCTTATGGTCAAAGCCCCTATGGTCAAAGCTCCGGTGTGGTCAAACCCCCTATGGTCAAACCCCCTATGGTCAAAGGACCTGTGGTCAAAGGTCCGCACACCTTAGCGCCGTAGGGAAAACGTATTAAAAAGCCCCCCCCCCCCCCTCCTCCAGAGCTGTGGTTTGGGGAGGGCGGGTGGGGCGGCCGCCTCAGTCGCCGACCCAATGGGACCGCTAAACGTTGTAGATAATAATATAAAAATCTTGTTACTGAATTGTATACAGTGGAAATAAAGAATCTTAAATGCTACTTGACATTACGGACTTATTTGCTTTCCATATCAATTGTGTGACACTAAAACAAAAGGCAAAGTGACTGGTAAAAAACCTACACCCCCCATCAAAATTGCAGTTGAATTTTTCTTAAAACCGATATTTTTCCAAAATCTTGTCAGAACTCTGTCAACATGAAGTATTTTTATCAATTCCTGTAACAATTTATTAAAACCGTTTTCTAAAACGTGAAATAACGGCTACAATTCGTTTTCTAACATTGCTTTTTTTCTTTCTCGTATATACGAAGTATAGAGAAAGTATTGTAATCGTGCACAAAAATCACTAGAAGTTTTAACAATTTTCACCGTATTACACCTCAGTCCTTCATCACATCCGAAGTATAAAGGACTTATTTTAATCGGGCAAAAATTATCAATCCAGATTTATCAAAATTAAGAGGTTTTATGCGTAATCCAGTCTGAAAAAAAACTGGGCTTTTCAATTCTGTCCTTATGTCTGTGTGTCTGTCTGTCTGTGTGTGTGTGTGCGTCTGTCTGTGTGTAAACACGATAACTTGAGTACCGTTACAGCTAAGTTGATGAAATTTCATATATACGTATTTTATCAAAATCGTAGATCCGTATCAACTTTTTTATTTGGCGTTCACTTGGTGTGCAGTTCTTTTGTCTACGAGATTTTATTCTATTTTTAAAACTTTAAGTATTTAAAGTGGATTAAAAATCATGTCTATAGCCCGAGTTCCCATCCCCTGTTATTTTATATAAGAATATTCGAGAAAGTTTAGGGGCGATCACTCCCGGTTTATTTATAATGCAAAAGTGTGACGTCACACCATTTGCCACTCCGTCACATAATTACTCCCCCCTCCCCCTCATCACACACCATCACAAAATTACGGACCCCCTCCCACCTACGAGTGTGACGTCATTTATGGACGACATCAAATGACGATTTCTCTACTTTTTCTGACCAACAAACTACTTTCAATGACAACATTTTCTGGAGTATTAGAGACGAGAAATAGCTAATGACGGTTTCTCTACTTTTTCCGTAACACATTTAAAAAAAAAAAAAATTTAGTAGAAGTTTGTAATTTTCTACAGGCAAAACAATGATCGAGGAAGATGAAAAAAATAACCAAACAAAGCAAAAAAGGGAAACAAACAAAGAACTAACTGGTAAGTACAACTAATATTAAAGTAACATTAAGCCCGTATAATTTAAAATAATTGTTACAAAACTGAGAATAACACTATCAATTAACATGTTTTTAAACACTCAAACATATCACATTTCGGTTGAGATTTAGGCTTAACTTTAATCATTTGATTACATATCGAATTCGTTAGACTTTAAGTTAGGTTTTAATATTATTAGCGATTCTGTACAATTATGGTGGCTTTTATTCTCGTTGTAGATGTAGAAAAGGGTGTTTAAGTACGATGTTCTGTTAAACTTTCTTATATATAAACAGTAAACAGTCGCCACTCCCCGTAGCCGAAAACATGCATACGCCACTAAAATACATGCATATATGTATGCCTTTTTTTAGCCATTGTTATATTTTTTGATAATTATGAGGAGTCCACTTTCAAAACCTGCTAAGTCGACTTTTTGAAAAAAAAATGAGTTATCTCCCTTTGCTCTTTTATTAAGTAAAAACCCACAGTTTATTTTTAGTTTTGACAATCAAAACCTACTACGTTCGCTAATTTCCCTTTTTAAAAATAGGATCCACTTGCAAAACCTGCTAAGTTTCATTAGGTTTCACTTTCAATTCCTACTAAATAACAAGCCAATGGCAGCGGTCGTTAGTTAAAGGATAGAGCCAATCACAATTTAGATTGCTTATAGGCGACTTCCTTCCATGTACATCGTTCGATCTTTCAAGATGGCTGTCACGCGATGCGAGTGTCGTTGTAATTTGTAAAAATGCCTATGGATCTCCCATTTAAAGCTTCAAAAAGGAAACAGATTCAAATTCAGAGGTAAGCCATCTTCTATTTTTCAGTGTTATTAATAATCCACTCCTTACCACTGAGTTACTGTTACTAGAACTAGATCTAGTTCAGTAGTGGGGTTCTTTTCTTTTTCTTGTGTTATCGCTACACACTACACTCAACGAGTCATAACTCATAACACTGTAGTTATAGTGACGAAACTGTTGTTACAGCGTGTTAGTGTTTGTCAAACTACTGAGATAACGGTACACAAAGTTACAGCTAGATATAGTACTAGTTAGTACATCTTCTACAACTAGAATTTAGATTTAGCATCCTCGATCTAGACTAGATTTAGACTTAACCATAATCAAGATTAGTAAAGTAACTTCCACCATTTGACATTGTTTTTATACCTTCCTTAGACATTCACAAAAACCAGCTGTGAGAGCTGACTGCAGACATACCAGGAAGGTGCCTTCAAATGATGTGTAGAGCTGACTGCAGACATACCAGTTAGGCAGCCTTCAAGTGTGCAGAGCTCACAAGCAGGGACATGGCAACATTCAACTCGTTGTTCTACAGCCACACCCAAAAAGCTGATCAGAACAATTTCATTGTTAAGTTCATTGTGGCCTCAGCCAAAAAACCAAATCGAAAACAAACAACGGGCGACATGTGAGACAAAAACAAGGGTGCGAGTTTGTAAGGACTTTTTCTTAAAAGTGCTGGTTATTGGATGTTCTCGTGTCGAAAACATTGCTAAAAACATCAAGCAACATGGAGGAGTTTCAACGGAAAAACGAGGTGGTGATCAAAAGTGCATTAAGTATGGCCCCAAAAGAACTGCTGTACGTGCTTTTTTTATAAAAGGGCTTAAAGGCAGGTGAAGCCACTACTGCAGACTTAAGTCCAAAATAATCTACTTTCCTTCTACAATTACTTCTATGAAGCAGCTGTGGAAAATGTTTCTGTCATACAATACAGAAAACCATGTGACCTATGAATTCTTCTGACGGATATTTAAAAGAGACTCCAGAATGTGTTTGGGTTCACCCAAAACAGAGGCATGCTCCTTTTGTGAACAAATGAGGAATCAGATAAAGGCAGAGTGATCCATCCCAAAAAGCAGTCACTAATAACACTGCCATATGTGTGCGCAAGACGAAGGCAAAAGCCAGATGTTTTCATTTATGTTTGAGGAAGAGGATAGTTCCATCATTCAGATGGCATCACAATGATCAGGTTTTTAGAGTGTTGGAAAACAAAATTAGAAAGAAAGGAAGGATTTATTACCCAGAGGAATACCTGGATATTTACAAAGATCAAGACATTGTGAGATTGGCAGAGGAGGACTGGGATGTACTTGCCAGGTGTCAAAGTAAATGCGACCAAAATTACTGACATTAAAAAAACTGGTGTCAGAACATGCTGGAGATGACTGGGAGACAAACCAAAAACTTACTTTCTTGAAATCTGTTGTTTCGACACCCTTCAAGCTGCCGATGATGAGAATGAGGAATGTGACTGCCTTAGTGAGGATGACGCCTCCAACATTGTTTAGACTCAATCAAAGCCAGAAGGCTCCCCCACCTTCAGTGCTATGTAACTCCTTATTTTCCCCCAATAAAATTATCCCTTTGGATTTTTTCCAGAGAGTAAACTGTACAATTTTTGTTGCCATAATTAATTTTAATTGTATGTTTTGTATCGCCTGTTACTGTAAATTTTTACTGCTAGTTTTTTAAATGATTTAAGGACTGCTTAAGTCAGATCAATCAAAAGAATTTTACATTGCTGTTTGATTTGCTATCAGCTAAGGAACTCGCACTGGAAGGCAAGATAACAAAGAAATAGGTTTAGTCTGGTTCTTAGACATACGCAAAAACTAGTGGTAAACACTATGCTATGATGTGGGTAGACACATGAGTTTCTGCCAAGGATTGAACTCTCCTTATTCCTTGTCAAAACTAAGCATAATAGCTAATATTCAATTGCAAATAAACTACTTGCCTAACTTGCTAAGTATTTAAACCACTTTCAAAACATGCTAAGTACATGAAACACTTTCAAAACCTGCTAAGTAAAAAATTCGTCCTTCATTATCAAAGGCTGAAATTTTCTTTAATTTAGTTTTGTTTGTTCCAAATGACTTACTTTAAGGTATTTTTTTAGCATAGCTAAATCCCGAATCTGTAGCTAAACATTTAGTGATGATTTTAAAAAAAAGTGCATTTTTCTCAGAATCAGTCTGCAGCAACGTAGCATATATTGCAAGTGGATTCATCAATTACGTTTTCACAGAAGAACCCGGTCCCGAAGACAGTGGTGCAAGGGGTGTCGTGCAAATACGCCAGACTCCTTTCTTGATTATGACGTCAGCTATCACACTGTTGCTGCGTGCTATGTTTAATTAATTAATGTTTAAGTTTTGTTCATGTTTTAGCTTTTTAAAAAATTAATTATTAAATGGTCTGTTGATTATTTTCTTTTTTTTTAATATAGAGTAATATTTTTAAGTAATTTTCAATTGTCAGATTTTTAAAATAAAAAGTGCGCTCATCTTTTTAAGAATAAGCGAAAGTCAGCTATATTATTTTATTACGGTTGATGTAATTTAGATCACATACGAGTTTTTAAAAATGTTCTAACATGCCTTATTTTTTACTCATAAAGTGCTCTTTTAATTTGATTTTAAACTTCCTTAATATAAGTTTAGTGCAGCATATTATGATACATGGAAAATTTCTGATATAATTCAAGGATATTACTACCAGGATAATTGGATCAATGTTGATTCGATGCAGGACATTTTACTGACATAATACGGAAACAACTATGTACGATACCGCATTAAACATACGATTTACATAATTTAAGGAAAAAATATTCTTGGACTAGTTCTAATATGGTAATTTCCCATGCAAATAGGTGCAACTGTTTTCATTATTCTTAATGGAATATTGGATGAGATCAATTAACAAGGCCAACAAAGTTGATCAAAAGCTTCAGTATTGATGATATTGAGTGACATATCATATACATATATATATATATATATATATATATATATATATATATATATATATATATATATATATATATATATATATATATATATTAAATACTGTATTCGCACAAGAAAAGAACACTTCTTGATAAAATAACGAAATTATTCCCATTAAAAACACGCATCTTGAAATTTCTTTGAGTTGTACCAACAAACATATATTTATTAACTTAAAAAAAATATGTATTCTGTATTTTATTATTCGATTCCTCACAAGATACTGCGTATTGTATAGTTGTTGTTTTCACATTCACATTTACATTTACATAGATGAAAGCCTCACTTCTGCGCATAGTCCTGCTTTTAAGGCTTGTGAATTTCATTGATGTTTGTTTAAAGAACCAAATGCACACATTCAGTATAGCACTTGAGTGGGCTGCTAACGCAAGATATTAAAAGAACAACAACTTGTATTTCTCTCAATTTTATTGTTGACAATTCTGTGAAAATACTGTTCAATATAAGTCTAGGAAACAATAATAATATTAAACAAGATGCTATGTACTATACGTGGATAGAGTTCCTCTCACAGAATGTGTCTTTGATGGCTAGAAATCAAACTGATGAAGTGGATAAAAAATAGCTACTCCTATTTGTAAATATTTGACGTAAAATTGTTTTAATTTCCTTGTTTACGACTAGTAGTTTCTCTATTTACCGCACATATTCTAAGATTACCGTTTAATGGTGCGAGACATTTTAAATTTCAAAAATTTAATCAAATGCCCTAGTTATAATCAGCAAACAAAGCAAGCACGAAAGCTTAAATAAATTTTGATCGTGGAACGATAAAACAAAGCTCTTTAGCTATTAACATTTTTCTAAGGCTTGGTGTTCTTACGTCATTGAACAAGCACAATGTATGTGTATGTGTAGTGCCATTAATATTAAATAAATATTTGGATGTTTATTGTTCGCCAATTTGTTTTTTTTTAAAATCAAATTTTAATCAACGTTTCAAGATAAAATATTTCTAATTGGCAACTGGTGTAAAAAAAAAGTCTAACAATTCATTTTTTGTGTAGTGGTTTTATTGCTTTTTTGTTGCAATCTTAGAATTGCAATATCAGTATCTGAAGCTTATTCGCCGACGTGTCTCTTTATGTAATTGTTAGCAAAAACAATTTAGTACTCATTGCCGTTTTTAAAAAAAAATTACAATAAATAGTATTTGTATTTATTTTAGTAAGTTTTAAAAATTTAGACATTTAAATAAAACATTTCCCCGTTTAAGAATACTTTTTACAGTTATTTTAAACTATGCAGTTTTATAAATATGTTTGTTTTATCAGTATGAATAAATTTATAAAACGTCAAGTTTTGATATTGATTAATATTTTTTCTATATACCTCGACCGATAACTCTATATCTATCTCTATCTATCTTAATTGCTCTTAGATCCTGATCAGCTTTTGAGCGATTTCAAATAACCGGAAGTGGTACTTTTTCTACTTTGAATTTTTCAAAAGCCTATAACTTGAGTACTATTTCAGATAGATAAATGAAATTTAACATGTAAGTAAAATATCCGACTCTCTACAATCAATCGAGTTTTGAGTAATTTCCGTTGAACGGAAGTACTAATTTACGCTATTTCCGATTTCTCAAAAAAAACGCATGTAAATTTAGAAAGTACTAATAATATTGCGCACTATTAAGCACGTTCGCTTGGTGCGCAATTCTTTTTTTAATGAGATTCTATTCTATTTTTAAAAGTTTAAGTGATTAAAAATCATGTCTATATTCCAAGTTATATAAGAATATTCGAGAAATTTTAGGTGAGATCACTCCCGTTTTTTTTTTCAAGCTTTCGATTTTGAAAAATGATTAATAAGTTCTTTTAGATCCATTTTAGCTTCATCTGTATGTTAGATACTTAGGTAGGCCAAGTTACTGACCTAAATGTGATATCAACAATTTGTTTCATAACATATTAACATCATCATCATGATAACATCAAACAACGAGATTTAAAAAAAATCCTTCATATGCATCAAAATCTCCTTCCCGATCACGTAAACAACGCCGCTGCTATTTTCTCGGATCTTTGTTGCTGGGACGCGGGTTTGTCCACACTAGCGCTGAGACGCCGTTGGGGGTGATGTATGAAAGCATTAAGTGTACGTTAATCACCCTCCGCAACAGTGAGATTAAACACCTTTTGTCGACCGCCTAGATGTCAGGGGCATCACGGCATTGACTTGTTACACTACCGTAGGTGGCCCGATGCAAACCCCTAGTTCGGTTTTAATCATAGAACGTAGAGGTCCTGCGTGTCCCCAGTGTAGAATACTCTTGTGTGTCGGTGTCGTTCTTACGTCGAAAGCTGCCGCTTTTGCAACCCATTTGGTATCCAATTAGAATCTATTATGCCTCTCTGTTTTTTTCGCTTTGTACCTGTTATTTACATATTGTTAATATTTTCTATTAATTTCTCACGCTGTTTATATTGTAAAAAAAATTCTCAACAAAACTGTAGAAACATTTAAGACTATTACTATTATGGTAAAAAGTAAACCTTATTTTTATTTCTTCATTTCAAATTATCTAAATATCTTCATTTGAATTGTTGATCTTTTTTAGTAATGTATACCATTTTGTTTATGTAATGATAATTTGTATTAATGTTTGAACTATGTCAAATACTAAGCACACACACACATGTGTATTTTATGTTGATGTAAATATTTCTATTTGAAAATAAATGTATTTAAAAAAAATTTTGTATTTAATCAAAATAACTTTACATACTGAGGTGCGATAACGACAGGAATCAGTGGTTGGTTGTTACCAAATAAAATGCGTGATTCTAAAAATAGGATACAGTATACAATAAACGTAATTCATACATACCTGTGATGCTGTCAAAAGTGATGGACGAAAAATGCTTTGATCGTCATAGCTAAGCTTAATTACAAAAAAACACATTATGAGACCATTTAAACAATCCACAATACATTAATAAGGTTATAAATCAAAACTGCAATTAGCTTAAAAATGCAAAAAATTAAAAACATTAAAAAAATGTATTTGATGTCGGATAGAGACATGTTTATTTTTATAACTATAATAACAATATTTTAACAATAATAATGGTTTTACTGTATTATATAAAGAAAAAAAACATGGGCAGAGTAATTAAGAAAAACAATATTACAGATTGTACTAATTAGTCATTTAGCCATCTAAAAATAGCACAGACGAATCTAAAACGTAATTTGTACTAGTTAGTTTATATCTAATCAGCTATTTTATTTTTACATACACAGTCATTGCTGTAATTGTGACATCCACACGTTCAAACGTTGCTACATTACATACTTTTGGCTCACGTATATTTTGTTCTAGATATTGACATAAAACCAGGATATATCACAAACCTTCTTTGTCACTGTCAAATATGTTGTCTCTATCAACACGCGGTTGATTTTCAGAGGTAACTTCACGTTATAAAATCAGGTAATTAATGTTTATTATCCCCCATTGTTTTATTATGTATATTTACATGTATATGTTACATATTTGTCATTCTCCTACAGTGTTGAATAAACGCTAAAATTCTAAAATCTAATATCAATTATTAATATTAGAATAATTAATTGTTTCATTTCTTCAAGTGCGTAATTTTAAAAAAGAGCAAGGGAAACAACTTATTCTTATCCTTAAAAGTGTTTATGTTAAGAAAATTTAAATTTTATATCGCCATAAACATTGTAACAACTTTATTTTAAGTTTTAGTATATAAGTTACAACATTGCAATGCTATGACCTCTGTGTATTCTATAAACATGTATATTATATTTCATATTATATTTGTTAAACACTTTACGACATGTTATACACAAATTTATGAACAAGAGCAATCTTAAATTTTTAACTCATTATTTGTTTTGCTACATGTTTCGAAATAGTTTTATACTTGTTCACCTTCAAGGAGAACAAGGCAAGAAAATGTTGGGTAGAATTGTTGCCATACGCTTTTCATCTCTTGCTGAGCCACTGTAGAAAGTAGGCCCTGGGAACTATGCCGTTCCCAACACTTCAGCATACAAGAATTTTATGGAGAGACAAGCTTTGTTTCTACGAGATGACGGCCATCTGGTCTGGCAAAAATTACCAAAAGACAAGCCCTTGTTTATAACTGCAGTCACCCTTGTTGGTGTAGCAACAGCCTGGGCCGTATATTCTCTGTTTGTCTTTGCATCACCTCCAAAGAATAATTAACAATTTCCAAGCCTAGCTCACAAGATCAATCACACACAGTCTAACACAGTCTCCATGGTTGAATTTTTTTATGCTAGAAAAGATTGTCAGTTGTTTAGAGAGGTTTGGATAAAATCTTGCCTGTCTGAGTGGTTGTAGTTGGCGTTTGTTGTGCATAAAGAATATTACATAAATTGTGTTGTGTACATTTTTGTAATTGAATAAAAAAAATATAGACTTACAAAAAAAAAATACTTGTCCAGCTTTAGGAACCTTCATCTTAAACCATGACACCTTAAGCCATGGCAATATTATTTAGACTCATTTACAATTCAACACTCTTAGTAAAACAACAGAAACCCTATTACCCACTATGCAGACAAAACATAGCAGATACATAAACATACATCTATCTAGAATGCCCCACCAAACAACGACAAGAAACGAGACCTTCAATATCGACTTGGTTATATATGTATGTATATATATAT